ATCGCAGGAACACCACTTCCCTGAGGGATGGTAGCTAGGTCAAAAGAAGCACTCTTCTGTCCTCCTAACTGTGTCTACACTGAATATTGGGTCAGTATAGCTACAGTTGTCAGATGGATTTTTTACACTCTGGAGCACCATTGCTATGTTGACCAAAATGTTAAGTGTAGGCAAGGCTTTAGTCAATGAGATTGTGGGGTATCGCAGGAACACCACTTCCCTGAGGGATGGTAGCTAGGTCAAAAGAAGCACTCTTCTGTCCTCCTAACTGTGTCTACACTGAATATTGGGTCAGTATAGCTACAGTTGTCAGATGGATTTTTTACACTCTGGAGCACCATTGCTATGTTGACCAAAATGTTAAGTGTAGGCAAGGCTTTAGTCAATGAGATTGTGGGGTGCTCAGCAGCAGGATTCGTCCCTTAGAGCAGGGGTGGGGAACCTTTTTTGCATCGGGGGCTGCTGACCCACAGAAAAATCAGTCAGGCGGAGGACAGTGGGGGCTGGAGCATCAGCATGGGCTCCTCAATGTTGGGGGAGAGGAGCCCTGAGCTCCAGGGGCCAGATCCAGGCAAGCTGGGGACCGCATCCGGCCCCTGGGCCTAAGGTTCCCCACCCCTGCCTTAGAGAACGCACTCTTCTGTCAAATTCAGTGCCCAAAGTGATCCATTTGGATTAGGAAATGGAAATTTATTTTGAAACAACCTACAGTTTTACACTTACTGGGGACTCTGAACATCAGAAAGACTCTTTTGTATCCAGAGTTACATAAAGTGTGTTTATGTTTCTTGTTTGTTTATATATAGGGAGTGCAAGTCTCCAGATGTTTCACACTCTGAATCCCAGCGATAGTGGTTTCAAAGAAACAGACATTTGAATGTGACAGTTTTGTACTCTGCTCAAGTGCCAACCTCTGCATGCATGATTACCAGTTTGCCTACATATTACATGTGGTGCGCTGTGCCCAGAAAGCTGTATATATGTCAGAATGTCTTCTTGCTGCTGCTAGAAAGTGAATGACTGGACTTGAGTCTCTCAAACTTGGCAGAATGCCTAGAATACCATATAAGCAGGCTTTTTATAAAAACCGTGCCCCACTAGCTCAGCACATTAAAGTCACACTGGTTTCTTAAATTAAAAAAAAAAGGTTCTTACAGTGATGGGCCCTGATCTCTGTAAACAAAGCGTCCTGATGAAGATAACGAGGCTGTCAATAAGCGCAAATATGGGACATTTGGTTTAAATCTTTATTTTATATATTTCCAAGATAGCTTAAGAGTGAGAATTTTTTCAGTTGGTCTATTAAGACCTTTCTAAACTGGCTCTCTCCATACTCTCTTGGCAGATATATTAGGCTTGAATTGGCTGAATCACTGTGGTAATAATATCTCTAAGGACTAATACAGTATAAGCCTCTAAGTCCTTATTTTTATATCTTTTTGGAACATTATCGTTTTGTATTTGAATAACTTATTGAACAGAGAGTTCATTTTGAGGTTTTCATACTAGAACATCGTAACCATGGGTTTATCTACATGGCCCTAAGATAATATGCAATTGACTAGACCAAATTCCACTAAACTGAGCACAGTGACACATGAAACTCATAGTCTATGCCTTAGCGATGAACATTACTCTCTGGGTCTATCTACTGTGATAAATCAGGAACGAGAAGCCAAACTTCCTCCCACTCTTTCAGCCTTTGCTCACCCAGTGCTGCAGAACGCATTTGCATTTTTAAGCCCTTTTTGGCTGCCCCGCAGATTAGCACAGCGCCAGGTCAGAACTTTGTTTGAATTACAGAAACTCTTGCAATATATTTGCAAGCTCGCAGTTGCTACTTTTCAAACTAACCTGTCTTTACAGGACTAGTGTCATTCTTGAAATGGAGTTCAAGACCAAATGCCAGATGAAGGATAATAGCAGCATTTAAGTCTAAGCTACCATATCATTGTTATTTTGTAGTGATGGATCAAAAGAAATTGGAGACCATCTGAAATTCAGAGACGTAGCCCCCTTTTCATTGTCTTTTTCTCCAGACTATTGGGTCATTGCAAAACCAGAACAGTGCACCATGTGATCAGACATGTGATTGTACTAGCTCAGGGTAAGAGTGGTCAGCTTGCTTTCCCAGGTTGGAATCAGATGAATCATGACCTGCTGCTTCAAATGATTTTGGATCTCACCTTTGCATGTCATTTTTGCCCTCCCATTCCTAGAGGTTGCCCCCTTTTCCTAGTGTCTGTACAGATGACAAAAGCTACATCTACACTGCAGGGCTATTTTGGGATACTGGAGTATCCCGAGATAGCTATCCCGCATCTTCAGAGCAAGCCCATTATTTCAGGCTCGCTATTCCGATGTGCCTGTAACCCTCATTCCATGAGGAGTAAGGGATGTTTCGGAATAGCAGGTTATTTCTAAATTAATTATGAAATAAGCTATTTCAAAATAAGATCAAAATAAGAAACGCAATTTGCGTAGCTCAAATTGCATATCTTATTTCGAGCTACGGTGCAGTGTAGATGCACCCGAAGGCTGTGTCTAGACTGCATCCCTTTTCCGTAAAAGGGATGCAAATTAGACACATCGCAATTGCAAATGAAGCAGGGATTTAAATCCCCCCACTTCATTTGCATAAAAATGGCTGCCACTTTTTTTTGGCTCGGAGCTTTGCACGAAAAAAGCGCCAGTCTAGATGCAGAGCTTTCGGAAAATAAAGCCTTTTCCGAAAGATCCCTTATTCTTTATTTTAAGAGATCCCTTATTCCTTATTTTAGAGGAATAAGGGATCTTTCGGAAAAGGCTTTATTTTCCGAAAGCTCTGCATCTAGACTGGCGCTTTTTTCGTGCAAAGCTCCGAGCCAAAAAAAAGTGGCAGCCCTTTTTTTTCAAATGAAGTGGGGGGGTTTAAATCCCTGCTTCATTTTCAATTGCGATGTGTCTAATTTGCATCCCTTTTACGGAAAAGGGATGCAGTCTAGACACAGCCTTCGGGTGCATCTACACTGCACCGTAGCTCGAAATAAGATATGCAATTTGGTATTCATAGCTGTGTCCCGGTAAGTAAGTATCCGTAGAATTTATAACCATTTGTCACCTTGGTATTTATCAGCTGACTACACCATCCTCCCTCACTACATGAACCCTATTAATCTTCGCGATCTCGGAAGACCTTGGGCACTCTCCAGTGAAAATATAAATGCAAGATTAGTAATGTTTATTGTCTGCTGGCCAAAAGACAATGAAGCCAACAAATCGACTGCCATGAGTGGAAACTCCACAGCACTCTGAATAGTGCTAATTCTGCAATATCTGTAACAGGGCAACACTGTTCTAGGCGGCAAGGTCATAGGTTTCAAAACTGCCTCTGTTGTAATCTAACATCTCTCTTCACTCCTGCTGGTTCCTGCACCACCATAAAGATTACTCTAGCCCTAGCACCTGCTTGGGCTGACCAAGAAGCCTAATAGGCTCTCAGGAAAATGACCAACCAAGGAGAAGTGTAGGGATTAACCCTGCTCCCCTTAAACCTGCTGAAGTAGTCAGCAGTTATAATCACAAAATCCTAGAACTGGAAGGACCTCAAAAGGTCATTGAGTCCAGTCCCCTGCCCTCATGCCAGGACCAAGCACCGTCTAGATCATCCCTGACCAATGTCTATCCAACCTGCTCTTAAATATCTCCAGTGATGGAGATTCCGCAACCTCCCTAGGCAATTTATTCCAGTGTTTAACCACCCTGACAG